CCCCCCCCCCCCCCCCCCCTGCCACAGCCTGACAGGGGAGAGGGGGGAGCCGACCCTCACCGCCATTTCCCCCTCGCGGCCCGGGGCCACCTCCTGGGCCGGGCCGGCGGCGCCTCGCAGGCCCGCCCCAAGCCCAGCCGTGCCCTACCGGCCTCCGCCGCGGCCTCTGCCGCCCCCCGAGCGCGGAAGGCGGAGGACAGAGCCCCGAAGCCCGCAGCCCCTCACCAAGTACCGGAGACAGCTCCCGTCACACAGCGCCTCACCGCTCCCCTCGGCACCGGCCGCCGGCGCCATCCCCCGCGCGGCGCTCTGGGAAACGTAGTTCTCGCGCCGCTGCGGGGGCGGTGCGAGGAGGGGCGGTGGACCACAACTCCCAGAATGCTCAGCGCCACGGGCCTCCAGGAGAATCCGAGCGCGCAGGCGCAGTAGAGGGGAGGGAGTGTCGCAAAGCGCTGGCTAGAGAAGCCAGAAGTGGGGTGGCGGGGAGGCCGGAAGTTGGCGGGGTGTCATGGCGGCGGCACAGTAGGGGAAGGGGGTGCTGAGGGGCCGCTGCGAGAGCCCAGGGTGCGCGGGGAGCGGTGCCGTGCGTGGGCCCGGTGGGCTCGAGTGGGCGCCGTGGCGGGGGAGGGCAGGGCCCGGCCTCTCCTCGGACTCTCTCATCGCCTTTCGCCGCCTGTTCGCTGCAGGAGCATCGCCTGGTTACTTCCTAGGGAAGAAGCGGGACGGCGGGGTAGATGGTAGCTTCTGCGGACAAAGGCTTGTTATCCAAAAAGTTGCTCATCTTGAACAAACTCTTTGAATATGTTCTGAGTTCCCGGAAAGGCCGCAGTTAAGCACACCTTTATTTTGCTGATAATGGATGAAGAGAGTCTGGAAGCAGCAATTCAGACCTACAATGCCCAGCTGCAGCAAGTGGAGCTGGCTTTAGGGGCAGGCCTGGACCCATCGCAGCAGTCGGACTTGATTCAGTTGCAGGAGGATTTGAAGCAGCTGATAGAACTGACTGAATCCAGCCTGGTGTCTGTTAAAAAGAGCAAACTTCTGGCTACCTTAGATACAAATGCCTCCTCCTCCCCAGTAGGTCTCCTGGAGCAGGGTGCCAACCCCGAGAGTTCTGCCCAAGATGAGGAGTATGCTGCTTTTAAGGAAGCCATTGCTGAGCTCGGGACCGACGAGAAGCCTTCAGCTAATGACAGTGAGATATCGGCAAGGAGAGAGGAAGAAACTGATGACAAAAATGAATCAAAGTACAGTGAAGAGGAGGAGGAGTCAGACAGGGAGGAGGAGGAGGAACTGAGTGGGATGAAGGTTAAAGCCCCCTACTACAGTTCTTGGGGGACCCTGGAGTACCATAACGCCATGATTGTGGGGACAGAGGACTTAGAAGACGGCAGTGCAGGAGTCAGAGTGCTGTATCTCTATCCGACTCACAAGTCTCTGAAGCCGTGCCCCTTCTTCTTGGACAACAAATGCAGATTTAAAGAGAACTGTCGGTAAAAAAGAAAAAGTGGTGGGAGGGGGCTTATGTCCTTCTTGTAGCTAAAGGCCTTGTCTTTCAGAGGGATGAACCTCCTCTGAAAGTACCGTGTTTGGTTTTTATACCCAATGAAATTTTGCCTTTTTGTTCACGTTTTTCAAGTGTGTTACGGTAAGCAGTGGCATCAGTTTGGCTGTTTCCTCTAGCTAATGCAGAGATGAAACGGAAAATCCCATGGGGAAAGTTGCAGAGGTTTTACATAATCAGTCGAGTGGCTAAATTCATAATGATTAAGTATTTTAAAAGAAAACACCAGAGCTTGTCAGTCAATGGTGCACGGAGAGGCACCTTCCAGTTGCACGGAGAGGTTGTAGGGTCTCCGTCTTTGGAGATCTGCAGAACTTAATTAGAGAAGGCCTCGAGCAGCCTGGTCGGTCTTTGAAGTTGGTTGTGCTGTGAGCAGGAGGTTGACCTGCCTGTCTGCGTCATCCTGTTCATCTCCGAGGATCTGTGAACTTTTTTATTGGATGTGGCACTAGCAAGGAAGGCTTAATTCTCTGGGGTGGGATGCATTCTTTGTTACATGGCCTAAATAATATGTTTAAGATGAAAAATGAATAACTTCTGTAATTGAAATAATGCACGATAAAACTTCCATAATTACTGGTGAAGATTCATCACCGCTGACAACTCCTTTGCATTTTCTTTAAGGAATTTTTATTTAAAGCCTGCTCAAACGAGGTAGAGATAATTCCTCTCCCGCCTTCCCTGGCAGGTTCTCGCATGGTCAGGTTGTCTCTGTGGAAGAGCTTCAGCCGTTTCAGGAGCCCAATCTGAGCGGGCTGGAGGTGGGCTCGGCCTGCCTGGCGAAACACAGCGATGGAATATGGTACGCTGCAAAAATAACTGGTGAGTCTTGTGTGAGCCTGCGTTGCCAGGATTCTGTGTGGAAGACGAAGGCTGATGCTTAAGTGAATATAAAACTTGACTATTCTGGTTAATGATAGAAAAATGTTAAGTATGTAGCTGCAGCCCTAAGCTGAAAATCTTGACATAGCTGAGAAAACATTCGAATTTTGTCAGGCTTGGGAAGGGAATAGGCTAGGAAACAGAAGAACGTTAGACAAGAAGGAGACGTAAGAGCAGGGATGCGGAATGGAAAGGAAAGGGCTGCGTGGTCATTAACTGCACCGAAAGGGAAGAGGCAGGTATTGCAGGAATTTGCATGCATATTAGGTTAGAATTGCAATAATCTGCTCTTGTTTAAACAAAAGCCGGGGGAGCTGGCCCTGCCCGTCAGCTGCTGATACAGGCTTCCCGTGTCCTGGGAAGGGCGAGGGCTTATTCTCTCTTTCCATCTTTCTTTGACTATTATTAGGTCAGAGGGGAGCAAGTCTAACTTCTCTTTACTTCCATTTCTCAGCAGCCCATCTTTCTTCATTTTTAGAAATAAACCTTTAAGTATCAGCACAGGCATTGTGGAAGTAGCTTTGCATTGCAGTGGGTGCTTCTCCCTCCCAGACAGAAATGTAAAGCACAAAGAAAAACCAGATTTTTTTAAAACGCGTGTTCCTTGCGCCTCTCCCGTGTGGTTCCACTGGAGCTAACTGTGTTTCACAAAGCCCTCTGCCAGTTGCGTATTGGAGACTTACTTGAACTCTTGTTCCTTGCTTTTCCTTCTGTAGACATTGACAGTGGTTATTACACTGTGAAGTTTGACTCCCTGCTGCTCAAGGAAGCTGTTGTGGAAGGAGATAGCGTCATTCCCCCGCTGCGAAGTGAAGATGGTGCCTCATCGGCCGAGTCTGATGAAGACAGCGTTGACGATTCTGGTTATGCTAAAGGTCAGGTGTGAGCGAAAGTGACTTGTGATCTAGGTCTGCCTTTCTCTGGGCCCTACTGAGCTCCTGGAGCTTTCATTGTAAGCGTCTCACCTCTGATGAAAGAGTAGCTAATCTCTTTATATCTTGGTGAAAGATAGAGAATGGTAATGAGCTATTATGTTACAATTGCAAACTGAAATCTTTGTTTTATGTAAATTACTGGGCTAATGAAGGTTGGAGGTTTCCATGGGAACTCCCAACAAGGGAAAGTAGAGGGTGTGATATTTTAGAGCCAAGTTCCAAGCTCCGAGTCTGTTTCTTATGTGGCTGGCTGAGTTGAGCTAATAAGTGAATCGGGAGACTTCCTCATCTCTGGGGGCTCTGTGTAGCTCTAGGACACGAGAGTACGAGACCCCAGTAACTGAGCGTTTGGTCCTTCCAGTGGCTCCCCGGGGGCGCGGGAACAGCCACGCCCCCTTTTACTGTTGAAAGCTGACACAGAGAGAGCCCAAGTGACTTCTCTGAGATGACACAGACAGCACTGTCCCTGTGCTAGTGCCACAGTTACAAAGTTCTGTCCTGGAGCTCTTTAATTGAGCCTAATAGAGGTGATTGGATCCTAATAACACAAAATTAGTATAGTGGCCTAGAGGATCCTCATACCAGAGATGTGAGCTGAAGGCACAGAATAAATACTACACGCCACAGTGCCAAATTTTACTCTGATGGCATATGTCAGTCTGTATGACCATCCTAGAAGGAAGGAAAGGAAGCATAAAAACTTCTGGATGATTCTGCCTGGAACGACGAGGTGGTATGTGCATTAAATCAAGCGAGAGCTTTCATTTAAGTAACTCGCTATGCAGTGTTCATAAAAGGTGACAGCTCAGTAGGAACCAAGTAAGGCTGAAGGAGCTGCCGAATGATTCTAGGGTAAGGGAAGTATATTTTACTGCCTTGTGAAAGGGTTTCATGCTGTGTGGGTGCCCCAGATGAGGGTTTTGTGTAGCAGCTTTGTTTCTGTGTTTCACTGGTTCGTCTCTTCCGTGTCACAGTGATAGATTCGGGAGCTCCGGAGAACGGGGAATGGACTCCTGCGTGCAGTTCCTCTTTCGGTGGCTGGGAAGCCCATACTCGTGGCATCGGCTCCAAACTGCTTGTTCAGATGGGATACGAGTTTGGAAAAGGTAAGGGGAGAAGGCGGTCCTGGTGCTGCGAGAGCCTGACTGCCTCGTCACCTCACTCGCGTGATGGATCCTAAAGCTAGTTAAGAAAAACAAGATTTTTGAATGAAGCTAAAACTTTTCTTTGCTGAAGGGCCTATTAGATAAGGCTCAAGCTATGTGATGAATCACACTCGTGTGGAAGCATTAGAAGGAAAGAAGGAATAGCTGTTTAATCGAAGTACAGGCATATGTGTGCACCAGACCCTGTATGGTAATGGCAAAAATTGGAGGCATTTGGAACCATGGTCAAGTTCATGATTAAAGCCGTGAGAACTGTTGTATGAGATGTTCAAAGGCTTTAGGAAGACGGGCACTGATCTATGAAGCTTCTGATGTCTGTGTTAAAGCATCTCCTGGCTCTAGACGCAGACTTCAAAGCTGGCTGAACTAGCTTCTCACTACACAAGTTGTATTGAGCCTTGGGGGCTTTAGGAGGGCAGTCTGCTACTTGCATTTGTCTCTAGTTCTCCCAGAGGAACCAAACCAGTTTTAAGAAGAACCTGGCTTGAGAAGCTGAGAATGTGAGGCTGAACCCGGTTTCACAGAAACCGGCCTGGCGGATGGCCTCGGGCTTTTTATCACGTATCTTCTGCTGTAGAAGGCTCCTGTCGTAGCATCCGCATCCACCGTGCTGTGGCCTTTGCTGCCTCCCTTCACTTGGGTGGTAGTCATCGCTTTTTGTACCTCAAAAGCCTGTTTGCTTGTTGTAAGCTTTTTACTGTCAGCGTGAACTTGTGGTGGGAGGTGAATCAGGAGGGGATGTCCTGGCTTGCAGTAATCGCTTGGTGTCTCTCCTCAGGGTTAGGGAAGAATTCTGAGGGCCGAGTGGAGCCGGTGCAGGCTGTGGTACTTCCTCGAGGGAAGTCCCTCGACCAGTGTGCTGAGGTGCTTCAGAAGAAGAAACAGGGGAAGCTGGACCCAGGCAAATCGAGGAAAGGCCGAGCAAAGGGAAACAGCTCTGGACAATCCCCTGCAGGCAGCCGTAAGCCTCCCCGCAATGTGTTTGACTTCTTGAATGAGAAACTGCGAGGGAAGAGCACTGGGGAGAAGGCTGGAGGGATGGCACTGCCAGAGAGGAACAGCAAAGAGATCTACCATGCTAGCAAGAGCACCAAGAAAGCCCTGAGTGTCCGCCTCTTCCAGACCATGGAGAAGATTGAACAAACGCAGAAGGATATCAGAGGAATCCAGCAGGCCCTGGCACGCAACATTGGACGGTAGGAAAACATTCTCTTTGGGGCTGCAGGACGAACTGAGAATTCTTGGTGCTTCT